CAATAACTTGATACTATAATTTTTCATGTACTCATCTCGTGAAACATTTAATACATTGGTTGCAACATCCGAAACCCGCAAAAGTTCTCCGAAACCGGAGCAACATAATCCATAATATAAAATCCAAGAAGACGAGATTTATTATAGCAGTCACATCTATAACCCTCTTACATTTTGTATACTCTGAAAAGTTTCGATTCATGCGGTATAATAAAACTTTCGAGTAGCAAAATAGCAATTAAATGTTTCAAGTGGCATTCAAAGCGTGAAGTGAAATTAATATACGGGGACCGGGAACTGAGAAACGGAGCAAAGACGTCCAAAGACGTTCAAGAGGGTGCGTCCAGTACTTTTCGAGTGATCACGGAGCCAGAACGTCTGAAAAGCTTTGAGGGACACGTTTAGCGTTTCCTGAACTCTGAAGTCCCGCGGTGCCAGGACGTCTGAAGAGGCTTCGGAGACACGGCAAGGGCTTTTCGAAGTAACGCTACACCGCGCGCGGATTTCGAGACGCTACCGCGCTGGTTCCCCGTCAGACACGCCTACGAAAATCAGCGATAATTCCGACGGAATCGGCGAAGCAGTTCGAAACGCTTTATCGACCGCGCCGGGACGCTCCAGAAGTGGCTGAAAAGTTGAAGGGAGCTGCCCCGAAACTTCCACGAGGAAACAAAGTTTCCGAAAGCCCGCCGCCGGCGAATCGACCACGAAACTTTTTAAAACGCGGAGAACGTGCGAGCGGCGATCTTTAAAATGTTTTAAACATTCGAGAGCGTTCCTCGAGGAATGCCTTTCTCGTTTGAATAATAGAACAGCTTCTATCTGGGCATGCTTCTGTTCGGGCGTTCCGAATACAGTGGTTCATTTTGAAACGTTGACGTTGGCGAATTAAAATGTCCAAAGGATTATTGCCAATAAGAGTTAATGCTCCGTTGCATGAATTTTTATGACAAGTTGGACAAAATATATGTGACCGAAACTGCACTTAAAGAATAAAATGTAAACAAAAAAAAAAGGAAAGCATTATTTAATGATTTTTATCACTGTTCCCATATGGGAACTTCATATACATACAAGTAGACAAAAATACAAGCCAAAACGACTGGTTTCCGATCTTTTCTGTCATACTGGATGACATTTTAAAAATGTTTCTGTGACAAATTTTTAGGTGATCTTCTTCAGCCAAATATATCGTGGCNTCCATAATATAAAATCCAAGAAGACGAGATTTATTATAGCAGTCACATCTATAACCCTCTTACATTTTGTATACTCTGAAAAGTTTCGATTCATGCGGTATAATAAAACTTTCGAGTAGCAAAATAGCAATTAAATGTTTCAAGTGGCATTCAAAGCGTGAAGTGAAATTAATATACGGGGACCGGGAACTGAGAAACGGAGCAAAGACGTCCAAAGACGTTCAAGAGGGTGCGTCCAGTACTTTTCGAGTGATCACGGAGCCAGAACGTCTGAAAAGCTTTGAGGGACACGTTTAGCGTTTCCTGAACTCTGAAGTCCCGCGGTGCCAGGACGTCTGAAGAGGCTTCGGAGACACGGCAAGGGCTTTTCGAAGTAACGCTACACCGCGCGCGGATTTCGAGACGCTACCGCGCTGGTTCCCCGTCAGACACGCCTACGAAAATCAGCGATAATTCCGACGGAATCGGCGAAGCAGTTCGAAACGCTTTATCGACCGCGCCGGGACGCTCCAGAAGTGGCTGAAAAGTTGAAGGGAGCTGCCCCGAAACTTCCACGAGGAAACAAAGTTTCCGAAAGCCCGCCGCCGGCGAATCGACCACGAAACTTTTTAAAACGCGGAGAACGTGCGAGCGGCGATCTTTAAAATGTTTTAAACATTCGAGAGCGTTCCTCGAGGAATGCCTTTCTCGTTTGAATAATAGAACAGCTTCTATCTGGGCATGCTTCTGTTCGGGCGTTCCGAATACAGTGGTTCATTTTGAAACGTTGACGTTGGCGAATTAAAATGTCCAAAGGATTATTGCCAATAAGAGTTAATGCTCCGTTGCATGAATTTTTATGACAAGTTGGACAAAATATATGTGACCGAAACTGCACTTAAAGAATAAAATGTAAACAAAAAAAAAAGGAAAGCATTATTTAATGATTTTTATCACTGTTCCCATATGGGAACTTCATATACATACAAGTAGACAAAAATACAAGCCAAAACGACTGGTTTCCGATCTTTTCTGTCATACTGGATGACATTTTAAAAATGTTTCTGTGACAAATTTTTAGGTGATCTTCTTCAGCCAAATATATCGTGGCATTTTTTAAATTTTCGTTATAGGCTCAGATAAAAAAGTTAAAAAACGTGGGTTTTTAATTTTTTCTTTTGATTACAAGTAATAGCAAAATTTAAAAAAAGATTTTTAGCCGTTGTCTAGTAGATTTGTTCATCCATCATCCAAAAACAATTCAAGTCGTTTAGTTCAGTTTTAAAAAGGTGTACGAAGACTTTTGTGGGCCACTGTATATTATAGTAGATATTATACACCGTGTAAATAAATCCAATCTTTTCATTATCATCAAACAATACGTGTTAATCGTGTTTAAGGGTCGCTAGTTCTAGTGTTAATTACGGCCACTGTAAGTATGAATATACTAGAATACAAAGTACCCCAGAATTCTCTATTATTCAACTACTATTCGCGTGTAAAAGGAGTCCACATGCAACACAATTTATGAATCAATGAAATCTGCGCTGTAATTAAGTAACTATTGTTTTATCCGAGCACTCGTGTCACTCTACTTAGCTGGGATAATCGAGGTTCTACTGTAATTAAGAAACTTGAGGGTATTGTATGTGCCTGCTCATTAGCGAGGAAGTACGGTGCATGCGAGTCGCCAATTATCAAGCAAGAAATACAACTAAGGAGAATTTATTCTTGTGGAACAGTTTATTGAATTCTTTAGCGTTTAATATGGACTGTATCCGTTGCATTTAACGGGAATATTCATAAATTTTAAGATTATTGTCGAATATTTCGAATATTGCAATTAATTGATGTTTAACTGCTTAAGACATCAGTTACATGATGCTTAATAGCTCAAGATATCAATTACGTGACCTTTAATAGTTCAAGACATCAATTACATGATATTTAACAGCTCGAGAAATCAGTTACGGGATGTATAGTCGTCATTCTACATTCTCCGAATCATCGGAAAAGCAGAGTCGTTGAAATTTGATTCATTAATTTATTTAGAATGAGTTTATCGTAACTAGACTGCGGATTTTATGCATTTATGAGAAAAAAGGTCAACGTAAGATACAGAATAGGATTAACACAAGAAGAATAAAAGGGCACAAGTATGTTATTTATAAATATTTAAAACTATTAAGAGATGAGATACATTTTTCGTCAGCCCTTATTTCTTGAAATTCATGGAGAAAATTTCTATTTTACATAAATATTTGCTATCCGGTCATGACCAAACGTCATTGACATTTAGTGGCCGAAGAACGATTCAACGATTTCAACGATTCTGCTCGTCGAATAGTTCGCAGAATGCAGAGAGAAGTAGATTGCGTTGTCTGGTTTCAATATAACGCTTTGGAATTTAATAGGGCAGCGAAGGGAAACCCAAAATTTAATCGACCAGTCAAGTTGAAATTATATTGTGGCGTACGCGAATGAAATATCTACGGAGAAAACAATTTCAGCGAACAAGACCACTGTGGGAACTGTCAAGGAAGTTTTAATAGACGTCTAACTGCTGAAAGTTTACGCTGTTTCAAAATATACGAACCTGCAGGAAAAACGAGAATTTTGTTGCCCAGAGAGTTAGCTTATTTGCAGTTTCAGCTATTATTCATTTAGAGGGTTATACAATAGGTTGAGAATAGCACTTTTCCCCTCAAAAACTGTAAGATATAATTTATGAATCGTTTTCGTGTTGAAAGCAGTTTACTTTCGGAGGAGGATGAATTTTTTCTTGGAATACTAATTTCAGACAAAATAATATAATATAGTGCATAATATAGTGCAAAATATAGCGCATAATATGATGCATAATATAGTACACAATATAGTACGATAACATAGTACATACGTGGCTGAATTAAAAATTTCAGAACAACCAGAAGTCAGCAACAATGGCTAGGTATCATCGTTTTGATAGGTCCTCCGGGAGATCAGTCGCAACTTCGAAATTCATAAACATTTTCAAATTAAAAAATTACGAGGAACTCTCCAAAGCATCCCATTTCAAGTACAAAAATATTTTTTGAATAGGATCTTACAGTTTTTCAGAAAGAAATTCCCAAAGGTTGCCAATTTTCTGAACGATAAGACTTCTCAACACGTTGACTATCGCGTTTTTCATGTGCGTACGAAGTTTCTCCAGATTAAAAAATTCATTTCTGAGCTAATATATTTAATGTTAGTTTTGCAGGTTAGAATCCGCACAGAATGCAAGTAGATTTAAAATTTATTCAAACTTTTATTTCAAACTTTGATCGTGTCGAAATCAAAGATTTCGTACGTCATTTTATTTTTCCTATTTCTTCTCTCTCAGCTCGCTGTTGCAATTTCTTTGAAAAGTGCGTAAATTACTGTAATTGTACTGCATATCTTCTCTTTATATTTTTTTTAAGTTCAACACTTTTAGAAAATACATAATTTAATAAAGAATATGAACTACGCGTCATAATAGAAAATGTTACCGTTTCTTCATGACAAGTATACTCGTGGAAAACAGCTGACTGGTTATATAAGAAGACTATCTCACCTGGCAAATTGAATAGCAGAAAAACGGAGGCAATTTGTAGACCAGACTCTCGAATATCGCAGATCACTTAAGGCGTTAAAGAGCGAAAGTGCTAAACGATTAAGTAATTCGTCCCGTAATCGTTCCTCGACGTTCAGCGAGCAAATCGGTTATTGTTCCCCGCGTGAGAAGTGGTCGTAATCGAGCGATCAAGAGCCCACGGAAAAAAGAGAAAATCGTGTTTCCGGTGTGGATCGAATACTCACGGAAACAGGAGCCGTGTGGGGCGCGGCTACATCCTGCGCGTGATGGCGTCGTATGGGGCTGGGGCTCGACCTTTGGGAACTCTGTCCACGATGCCACGAGCCTCCTTTGTTATTGCTGAAAGCAAATTGAATAATCGATTATTATAATGCAACGTTCGTGCTTCGCAAAGTTCTTTTCGTCCTGTCTTCAGGTCGACCATGAGACCGACACTGGATTAAAAGTTCGTAACAGCATTACCTGGCCGAACGGAACTTATTTAATTGCGTTCGAAGAACGTTTCTAATTATGTCATACACCCACCTGTTTATACATTCGAGAGAGATTTTAATAATCCCGGACTTTATTTAACTTTTATGGAACAGTAGGTGTTCTCGCGGATGGAATATATTTCTTGCGAAATCAGATTATTATACGGATATTAAAAAGTCGTGCATTATTGCATTATGATATTAAAGTCGTGCATTATTGTGCGTAATTAATGGCGGATTTTCTATGTAGAATCAAAATTGTTTGCGTTAATTGCGAGATACGGAAGCTACGTGAACATTTCTTTTCTTCTTTGATTATTTAATTGGGTTGAAATTAATCCAACAGTACTTTATTGTTTTGTATTTGATCTACTTATTTTTTTTACATGAATGCATAAAATCTGCGATCTAGTAACTAAATAGTATTCTATGTTTATAATGATGTGATTTGTTCGCAAAGAGAAGAATGATATCTGATTCAGAAAGGTGTTTTTAATCAAGGTACATGATCTTTAGGATTTCTTTTTTTGAAAACATTAATAGGCTGTCTATTAAAAGTCTATTATAGTATTTATAGCAATTTTTTGCTACAACATGTCTGAAAAGTGTCCGATTTGGAATAAATTTAATATTATTGTAACTATAACGTCGGGCACGCACAAATTATTATACTATAATAATTTGTATATACTATAATAATACTACTATTTGTATATACTATAATAATAATAATATACTATAATGTACAATGATCTACCGTAACCTTACAAGTTACTCCTCACGTCACAGTAACAATAGTTATCTAACAACAATTCCGCGAGGGAATTGATTGTAAGCGCTCTAAATCAACAAAAATATAATAATCTAGTAACTCGAGGTTAAACTAGCCAATTTTTTCAGAAAAAAAATCCCAAAAGTCAGCCTTAATTGCAAAATTAGACCTTTTACCGCAGAAATTGCTAAAGGCAACAATCGCAGCGTGGTCGCAAAAGTCGTCGTACGAATGTGTACCGATCAAACAAGAGTCGGTCAATACTCCGATCGAGCATTGACACAGATACCATCTAAAACGACCGCATCGAATGCATAGAATAGTGTCCCCAGACGCCAAATTGAAAGTAAACAGATCCCGACGGGGAAATATGTTACAGTTAGGACACATTTCGCAAGCACCGACGCTATTTACGCGTACGGAAGCGTCGACGGCGTCGACGGTGTCGTCGGTTGCATCGCGTCGCTTTCGCGTCTAGGAAAAGATAACAAAAAAAGGACTGACATTGGCGAGCGATTGGATCCTGCAATAAATTGTTCCGGGGCGCGACTTGTCATCGTGGCCAGCCAATAGAACGCCGTCATAAATTATCGGCTCGAGAGTCCTCGGACGTGATTTACACGGCCGATCATCGATAATCGTCCCTTGGAGATGCCGATATATTACGCGAGACAATGATCTACGATGCCACGATATGCTATCACGGGATCGGGGGGGCTTTTAGTAATCTCCGCACGAAACAACCTCCGACATGTTGCTTCGGCCCTCTGCGATGCTGAAGTTTCTGCTTTGTTCGCCACCGATGCTTAATTTTGGTTTTAATACTCCGACTTACTCGGAAATCAATCCGAAACATTTTATAGATAATCGTTTTATAAGCGACGAAGAGTGAGACAGCGCATTAAAATCGTCTTATAAATACTGGCACGATTGGATTTATTTGAATTTCGCACGATTTATGTTATAATTAGACTGCGGCTCCTCGTGCAAAATAAAAATTATGTTCATCAATTGCAACAAACACGAGGCAAACAGACTTTCATTTCTTAAATAATTTCAGTGTATCGAAAGTGACACGTAGATGTCCTTAAATTCTTATAATATTTTCAGTTTCAAATTCCACTTACCCATTTATATCATAAAATGTCTAAAAGTGTCTCATTGAAACGTTTTTATGAAAGCAGGTATTGTGAAAGACAATATCAGAAACCAGTCATTCTGGCTAATGTTAAATATAATTTAGTAATGTAAGTATAATTTTAAATATAATTTAATAACGTAAAAATTGTTTCGAATTATGTGACAATATTTGGCGATGCTCTTTAGTGGACAAAATATATCAACACGTAACGTTACGTTTTCATTCGGAGAATTTATATTCGATGTACTTAATATTATTACGGACTAAAAAACTCTTTGGTAACATTATTGCATAATGTGACACAGAGCAGACAGTACAGTTAGCAGGTTCAAATACATACTATAATTACTTCAGCTTTGCTCAAAGAAATATGAATAACGTATAAAACATCTTTAGGCAAAATTTGCTGAATGAATTGCAACGTGTGACAATTTTGAAAATAATTTTGAATAATTTTGAAAACAGCGTATCGATATTGAAGCTTTTCTAGTCTGCCTACTGCTTTAAATCTCATTCCAGAAGCAACGAATGAACACAGCCGTGCCTACACTACTTGTAAGAAGAACCTATTTAATCCTGAAGTACCCAACCATCAGGAAATTAACTGCTCGATCTCGGCCGAGATGCTCGTTAACAACTCCCCAGAGCACCGTAAATCTTTCCGCCACGAATCCATTAAAAAATCCCGCATTTTTCATTGGAATCGCTCCGAGATTTCACTATTGCCTCGGCCAGAGCCTGCGTTACACGACCGGATGGATGACAATGAAGACTCCGAGCATACCAGGATCGCTTCCCGTCGAGAAAAATCCACGGTACCGAATCGTCGAAAACTATTCAGCCGTTCGCGTTTCCCCTCATAAATTAGAAACTCTCTCGTCACCGAGGCCGTAGAGGAGATGCCGGAGATCTCGTGATCGTCGCTGTCGGGCCCTCGCTGGAGGATGAGACACGCTCATTGTCTCTAAACTGACAGCTCTGATCGCAGCCACTCCCAGGCCACGGGAAAGGATCATCGAGGATCGTAGAAAGTGGAATGGAATCGATGAACCACCGGCTCGTGACCCGGCGTTCACCTGGAAGACGACTTTGCTGTCAGTCAAGACGATCCAGCGGCTCCATCATCGCGGAAAAGAATGATCCTTCACGGTGAAAACCACGGCGACGCCACCGCAAACCTAAACTGCAGTTTCATCGTTCGCGTAGAAGCATCGTATTCAAACGACGCGGCGTAGCCCTATGAAACTTGCAACGTTGCGGTTCTGTACTCGTCGCTTTGATTTGCCAGCTATATAGCCACGTAGGAATTTTTATTGCAGAAGTTAGTGTTTTGTGTATCTTTTCTTTCTTTTTTCTCTAGCAATTTTTTTCGTTGTTTAAACAGCGGAGATTCTTATAATAAAGAAAACTAATTCATCGGAAATAATATTATTATGCCATGAAATAATAAATAGTAATTTATAATCTTTTTATTGATACATTTATAAGATAATTGACATCTTCATTGATGATTTTAATAAATTTAAATATCATTTGTATGATGATATCAGAAACTAGGATGTTCAGTTTACGTTTGTTTTGTATAATGTAATCACATTATTTTCATTTTCATATTCACGTTCATTTTTATCATTACCTTATTACCATTACTATTATTATAATATTGAATTTTCGTAGAAAAACTAGAAGGGCGTTCGGCCTGCCGATGCTAGATAAATAAATACATAAATAAATACATAAGTAAGATAACAACGTTAAGTTAATATTATAAAATTGTAATATAATAAAGTAAAGATTAAAACTCCAGGTTCTCATTTCTTCAGAATCCAATCATTCAGTGCTTACAAGTGACTTCCACGCAAGATTGCATCTCCTTATGCGAATGATTGAGTTACCGTGAGCGATACTTTGCATTAGCATTCCCTGATGAAACATTGTTTTTTTTTCGTCGATGATAAAATGGCACTTTGGCCGACTGCGGAAGGTTAGAGACGCGCATGGCATCGAATTGGCGCGGCGCGGCGCGGCGCATCTTGGATATCGTTCCGTTGACGGGTTCGTTAGAACATGTCGCGCATTAGACGATCCATCGTTTATCAAACGGCGATCATTTGCGCGCCGATAATGACGTATCGGGCCACAGTGAAAGCATCGTGGGAATTGATTCACGCTATTGGAGGCCCGGAAGCGGGCGACGATAAGGTCACGCCGTGGCAATATGGCTTGGACGATTAACGCCATTAACGTCCGACTTTGCCGGGTTTTCACACGGGAACCTCATTATTGCGGGTATTTTCACGCCTTCCAGTAATTTGCGGGACGTGGGATCGACCACTTTGATTAGGCCACTGTGAACGTGTGTGGACGCATTCACGAAATTGGAACTGTTGATCTGATTCCAGAAGTTCCGAGCTTATGCTTTGTTCCAGAGTTGGGGAATATTTCAATCGTTTCGAAATTTATCTAAAATTATTATTCGAATGAATTCGTTCCAGTCGAATATTTTATTCTAATAACAATTATTCCTTATTCGTAACAAATTATCCGATCCATTTATCTGAATAATTCTTTCGTATTTGTTCGAATAATTCTGTCTTTTTTATTCGAATACAGATAAATCGTTATATAAATAAATATTTATTTGATTAGATATTTATTGGACAGTGTCGAATAAAATTTTATTCGTCAGTCTTTTTCTCTAACTTGTCATCCAAATAATATTTTGCGAAAGATCAAGATATATTTCTCACTAGTAGACTAGCTGATCTTCATGCGAAATAAAATTTGTTTTTAATTTATTGTGGGGAACAGAAGGTGAATAAAATTGTATTTCTTTTTTTAATAATTTCACTGTTTGATGTCTCACCCAATCAATGTTAACATAAATGCATAAAATCTGCAGTCTACTCATTATTTAAGTCTTTGAAACGTAATCGCGTTTTTTGAGGACACA